CCCTGCCCCCTTCCTGCACCCCCCACAGAGCCCCCTTCCTGCAGCACAGTGCCCACTGAGCCCCCTGCTCCCTTCCTGCAGACACCACTCCTACAGAGCCCCCACCCCACTTCCCACAGCCCCCTGCTGAGCCCCTGCTCCCTGTGTACAGGCAGGAGAGGCCCAGCAGCTGTGTGCTCAGCAATAGCCGCTCCTGGTGAGTGTTTGAGAAGGAGGAGAGTCATGGTTCCCATGGAACTGCTCCCACAGCCCAACCGCAGGGAGTTCCTCCTCGCCCAGCCAGGTGCCCCGGCCCCCGGGCCTGGCGGCCGGATTCCCTGCGGGTGTGACTCTGGAGGCGCTACGGTTGGCTGCCAGCGGCCAGGGAACCGGCCCAAAACACACATGGGCAGGGAAGGCGGGAGGCAGGCAGTGCGGGGAGGTGGGAGGGTTTAGTTTTAGCTGTTTCAATGAGTACGTCTACACTGTCACCCTAGTTCGAACTAGGTGGCTAATGTAGGCATTCGAACTTGTAAATGAAGCGCAGGATTTAAATATTCCGGGCTTCAATTGCATGTTCCCGGGTGCCGCCATTTTTAAATGCCCAGTAGTTCGAACTACCTGCCTGCAGCTACATGCGGCATGAACTAGATAGTTCGAATTAAAGCCCCTAATTTCAAACTACTGTTACTCCTCATGGAGACGCTATGGAGCTGGAGCCTCTCACACAGGGTGAATCTGGGGTGATGCCCAGTGGAGTCACTCCGGATTCACAGGTGTCACTCTGGCCAATTCCCCTCTCAGGCCCTCTGGTGTAAATCCAGAGTGATTCCATAAGCATCACCAGGGGCAATCCCCTCTCTCTCCCCCAGTGTAAATCCAGAGTGACTCCACAGGCTCACTGGGGCTGACTCCGCTCTTGCTCCCCCTGCAGGGTAAACCAGGAATGACAATGTACAAACTAGCCCCAGTTACCCGAGTCATATTACACCTGATTCACACCAGGGTGAGTGGAGGGGTATCAGGCCCAGGTTGCCCGTGTTACGCCCTTCCCTGTTTCCCCACCTACAAAGCCCAGGAACTCTCCTCTCCCCCAGCTTGATACACACAGGCGAGGGCAGCAAGAGCCCAGGTGCCGTTTATCATCCTCCGATACCTGTCAGCGCCCCATCCTGGCATTGCGGGGTTACTCTGGATTTACATGGAGGTGAGTGAGAATGGAACTAGCCCCACTGAGCCAGGGAAAGTTACTCTGGATTTACACCAGGATGAGTGAGGGGTCAATGGTATCCATTGAGCCCAGGAGAGCTACTCCTGATTTACACCAGCGTGAGGGAATTGACCCCAGTGACTCCTGATTGCCTGCAGTGTGACTGACTCGGGCTGTGTTCGCTGGGGTGTAGAGAGCTGTCCTGACCTTTGTTGTGTCATTCTCGTGTCCTCAGATTCAGTCGTGGACTCTGTTCACCTCCAGCTCGCTGTGTGTGATCAGCCCACAGGCCTTAGCACACACTACGCCCCTGTTAACCTAGGGTGTTAGCCAAATGTTTGCAGATACTTTTCCCATCACAGTTCAATACTTCTGCGTGCAAAGCACTTGCAGGTGTCAGATCTGTCACTAGTGCAAATTCTAACCAGGAAGCACCTCTCCCTGTCCAGAGCAGGGCTAGAACCCCGGAGTCCTGGCTCCCAACCCACCCTGCAACCACACTAGACCCCACTCCCCTCCTACAGCTGTGAACAGAATCCACAAGTGTGACGGCTGCTTGTTCTCAATACGCCATTTACTCGATGCCCTTACTCTCAAGAGGGCCAAATCCCCAGCTGGTGTAAATCAGAAATAGTTTGTTAATTTCAGTGGAAATAAAGACAAGTCACACCAGCTGGGCATCTGGCCCCATTGACTCCCATTTGACCCCAGCAAGGAATCTGGCCCCACTGTTATTGCATCCTGGTGGCTGGGGCGCGGCTACACCACCTGCTCTGACACCGCACCTGCCAGATTTCAGGGGTTTAGCTAATGAGCTGATGCAGACTTAGTTTTGTCCCTATTCGCATAATCCCCCAGCACTTTCCCTGCTCACCTTACACTGCGCACCACCCCGGGCACAGAGCCAGGGCTGCGGCTGGGTCACACCTCCCGAGCATACTGCTGCCAAAGGCTGAGCGGCAGATACAAGCCAGGAGTTCTGACTCCCAGTTCCTCCCCACTCCAACCACTAGACCCCCCCTCCCCCCCCAGCTAGGCTAGACCCCAGGAGTCTGGCTCTCAGCCCCACTCTAACCACTAGACCCCACCCCCTTCCCAGAGCCAGGATTACACGCCTGTTGCCCAGAGTGCTGCTTGGGAACCTTGGCTCCCAGGGATATTCTCACACGCAAGGTAAAACCACGGTCCTCCTCATGCTGCAGAATCCCAGATGCGGAAATCCCATCTGAACTACGAGGGGCATCTCCCTTGGAAACTTTCCCCACGGCTGCCGCCCTCCCTTGCTCCCCCCAGCGCTCCAAGCTGGGATTCTGAGCAAGGCCCTTGTTTGCTCAGTGCTCTCCTCTTGCTAAGTGGAAGTGTCAATATAACTTTGGCAAATAAAGTATTGGCAGGGATTCCTGCTCCGCGGGGCACAGGTGTGAATGTGGGAGAGAGAAACAAGGCACAAGGGTGTGAACGTGGGAGTGGGAGACTAGGCACGAGGGTGTGATCGTGGCAGTGGGATACTAGGCACAAGGGTGTGAACTTGGCAGTGGGAGACTAGGCACGAGGGTGTGAACGTGGCAGTGGGAGACAAGGTACGAGGGTGTGAACGTGGGAGTGGGAGACTAGGCACAAGGGTGTGAACGTGAGAGTGGGAGACTAGGCACGAGGGTGTGAACGTGGGAGTGGGAGACAAGGTACGTGAAGGGCCTAGTCTCCCTTAAAGCATAGACCGGCCAGATTTGGTTCGTCAGCCTTGTGAAAAAACCCTCATGGCAGAGCCCAGTGTAGACACAGTGACGCTGGCTGTGCTGACATCATGCTCCTACCCCCACAGGAAAGCCCACCTGAGAGTTCTGCTGGCCTAGCTTTGCCCCTCCAGGCCTCAGAGGCTGTCGACTGAGAGGCAGGGAGCAGTGGGCCCAACGCCGGAAAGCAGGTGGAACGGTAGGACTGAAAGCGGCGCAGGTGCTGAGAAAGGCAGCGACGGGGACGGAGAGTTACAGAGCGTCCTCGGCGACTCTGCTAAGCTGCAGGGCATTATGGAGCGAAGGGCCCCCAAATCTCCACGCTCGAGGGATGGTGCCATGTACACGGAGCCATTCAAACTCTGCAGACGCCTGCACGGCCGGCCTTCCCTTCCATGTGGACAGAGAACTACCAGCAGGTCTGGCTTTAGGAACAATTTCAATGGGACCCTGCAGCAATTTTGATTGAGCAAAAAAAAAAAAGAGCGTCACACAAAAAATCCCCAGGTACCTCCCCTGCCAAACCCCAGAGGTAGATAACCCCTCCCCTCCCCCGCCCCTCACGGCACAGGAAAACCCTGCGCTCGACTCTCACCTCCTGCGGCACAGACAGCCACCACACTCCCGGGCCAACGCCCCCTCCCACAGCGTGCCTGGCACGCTACCGGCTTTAGGGCACAGGGCCCCTTTAGGCATGGGGCCCGATTTGGGGGAATCAGGGGAATTGGCCTAGGCTGGCCCTGACTACCAGGATGCTTGCTGGGGCCATTCGGGGTCAGACAATGAGCTCCCAGGGCCTGGAATAGACTCAAGGACTTTAAGGCCAAAAGAGGCCATCTAGTCTGCCCTCCTCTGCATTGCCAGGCCCCCAGACACACCTGCAAGGGGACCCTAGCCTCTGGTTGGGCTACTGACATCCTCCCATCACCATGTAAAGATGCCCTGCTCCAGAGAACCGGCCATTTCCATGAGTTTAAGCCAGCAAGAGACCCTGCCCTATGAAGCAGAGGAAGGTGAAAGCCCCCAAGCGGCTGGGGGAACAGAAAATTCCTTCCTGACACCAGACATGGCGGCCAGTTGGGCTACTTTCCCGAGGGCTGCGTGCGAGGGTTTCCAGCTGGTGACACGGTGCCTCTCAGGGTTTGCTGTTCCTAAGTGGCCTGGGGTTTTGGCACTCAAAGAAGTTTGCTTCTGAAACCACTGTTTGTTTGTTGGGTGTCAGACGTGTCCCGAATGAAATCTCCCGTGTCCTTCCTGCTCCCTCTCCCACATCCCAACTATCGCGTTCACAGCATTCGCCTGCAGGGTCACAGCAACGTCAGGCTGCAAGGGCCTCAAGGGGTCATCTCAGCCAGGTCTCCGAGTGGAGAGGAGACCAAGTAAGTCAAGACCAAGGGAACCCTGGCAGGTGTTTGTCCAGCTGGTTCTTAAAACCTCCAGGCATGGGGATCTCGGAATAAGAATGTTAAATCTCGGTTAACTGAATAGTCAAGTAACTTCATGAATTCTTATAGGTTACTCGACTATTCTATAGTCCCCAGAGGGCGGGGCCGGCAGCCAGTGCGCTCCTGTGAAGCCCCCTGCCACTCTGCGCTGCTGCAGCATGGGGTGCCAGGCGGGAGCTGGCCCATGAGGAGAGAGAGTTTAAAAACCAGCTCCCCTTGTGGACTGCCTGCCTGTTGCCCAGTGCTGCGGCCTGGTAAAGAGGCAGCAGCACGGGGTGGCAGCAGCCCCTGTCTAGGGGATGTCTGAGCTCCTGGACCCACTGCAAGCTGGAACTGAGCTGGGCTGCCTGCCCATGCGGCTCCTAATATACTTCAAATGCAGAGCCACAGTGGGAGTAGGTCTGGACCCAGCGTGAGCCAGGACTGAGCCGGGTAGGCTGCCTGCCTGCCAAAAAATGTACTGCTGGGGTGGAGGGGGAGGGAAATGTGTGTAGACTACAGAATTAAACTATAAGCTTTTGCTTATCGGTTAATCAGTTCATCGGCTACATGGGGAACACTGAACTCAGTGGGCAGGTTCCCCGTAAGCTGGGACCTTGTGCAGCCACTCAGGAGAGATTCAAATGCCACCCAGCTGATTAGCAGAGTGCCCACAGCTAGATTTTCTGTTTCTTCTGATTGTGCACCTCTGCACATGCCTCGGTGTACATAAAATGTATCAATGGAAAAAATCCACTGAAAAAATGCATGGAAAAAATCCACACCTGGATGGAGATTAGAGGGAACACTGGTGGGTGCTTGGACATTTCCTCTTCAAGCTCCCCAGCAGACTGAAAGCTGACCCTTAGCCTTCTAGGGGTATCCACTCAAGGCTTCCTCAAGCGCTTGGGTAAATATTAATCTGGGGGAATTTGGGTGGGGTGCACCCGTAGCCTGTGGAGGATGTGTAAGGGCTGGACGCTAAATCAAGTAGAAGCTCTAAGTGAAAGCCCTTTTGTTTGCCTACCTGGATCAACCATTGGCCAGAAGCGCCGTGTCCCCACTGATTTCTTTCCTGACATGACCGTGCAAAGAGCAAAGTCGCCAATGGCTTTGAGTTCAGCAAAACCCCGGAGTCCTAAGTCTTCCCAGTGTCCATGGTGCTTGCAGTGTAGCTGGGGAAGGCCCTCTGTTCTGTTTCATACCCTCTGTCCCATACACTCAAGGACACACCTCCAGGCAGGTCTGGGGGCATCCCTGAGTGGCCAGGCAGGCTGAGCAAGTCGCCTGCGGTGGCCTCCTGCTGGCGAGTCATGGCATTGCGGCTCCTTGCTGGACAAGGGCTGGCGATGGGTGTTTGACACCTGCCAGGCGATGGATGCTCTCCTTGCTATTGTCAAAAATTACAGCAACATTCAGTCCCTTACCCCAGGTCAAACATACTTTAGATCCCCTACCACAGACAAGGCTGACAGCCAAGCGCTAACAAACTGGAAAGATGTATTAGCTAGGAAAGGAGAGGAGAGAGCTGGGTACAAGGTTAAAGCAGCTAAACACACACACGTGCATGAGTTAGTTTGACGTTTCAAAAAGTGATAGCAACGTGTACAATATGCAAGCACTGTATGCCCCTTGCAGCTAACCTGGGCAGAGCGCTGGGGACTTCCTGTTTATGCCCACAAAACCTCTGGGACAGGGGCAACATGGGGGGCATGAAGGGTCAAGTGCCATGCCCAAATGTCATGGGGAGGGGAAAGGGGCCAGGAGCCAGCCAGAGCCATTGGGCGGTTCAGGACAACTGTCCCAGGCCCTGCACCTTGGGAGGCATGTGCAGATGTGCACCACCAACAGAAACATGTGCTGTGCTCTGCCCAGCATCTCTCCTGGGCAGCTGCCCACGCACTCAGCCTACAGGGAACACTGCCCGTGGGCTGTGCCATGGAGGCCACAGGTTGCCCCGCTGTATGGTGGCAAACCCCCAGATCCTGGTTCCAGCCTGGGGCTATAAGAGCGGCAGGAACAGGAGGGCCGTACTGGAGACAGAGATGGGCAAGGGGATCTCTTATAGGGATGTGAACTGGTGGTAACCGGTTAACTAATTACGTGGGATCTTACTTCCATAATCTCTTATCCCATCAAATTCTGTTGGAGGAAGGAACTTTCCAGCTGCACAGAGCTCTTCTCCAGGTAAGAGGCAGGAGATCATTGCCTGCTCTGCTCGGCACTGGGGGGGCCTCGGCAGGGCTCCTGGGGCCACCTCTGGGTGCTGCACTATAGAAAAGATGGGGACGCGTTAGAAAGAATCTGCGGGAGAGCGACAAAACTGATCAGAGGTTTAGAAAGCCTGACCTATGGGCAGAGGCAGACAATAGTTCGGAGAGAGGGGGCCTGCGCCAGAGCAAGTGGGAGTTAAATGGGGTCAGCACATGGGGGGGCTCTGTGAACACAGCCCCTGCCCCAAACCTGCTCCCTGGCTGGAATACCAGGCAGGCAGAATGGAGCAAGGCCCACCGCCCCAAATTGCTCCCCAAACAGCACTCTTCTGGGTCCCCCCAATTGGCCTGGGGCCCCAGACACGGGCCCTATTGCTAGTCTGCCACTGCCTATGAGGAACAGTTGAAAGAACTGGCCCTGTTGGGTGAAGAGAAGATGACGTACAAGGAGAGGCTGTGGGGTTTGGGCTTGTTTAGTCTGCAGAAGAGAAGAGTGAGGGGGGATTTGAGAGCAGCTTTCAACTTCCTGCAGGGAGATTCTAAAGAGGATGGAGAGAGGCTGTTCACAGTAGTGACAGATGCAGAACAAGGAGCAATGGGCTCAGGGTATAGTGGGGGAGTTCTAGGTTGACTATTAGGAAAAACTGGGCTGGGTTCCCTAGGGAGGGGGTGGTTTCTCCATCCCTAGAAGTTTTAAAGTCCCAGCTTGACAAAGCCCTGGCTGGGTTGATTGAGTTGGGGTTGGTCCTGCTTTGGGTCAGGGATTGGAATCGATGACTCCTGAGGTCTCTCCCAGCCCTGGGATTCTAAGATTGAGGTGGGGGGGAGGGGCTGTGACAGTCTCCAAATATGTTACTGGACAAGCAGTATTGGGCTTAACCTGCAGGACGCGAGACTGAGGTTCACTCTTAGGAAACTCTTTCTACCTGCCTGGGCAATCCAGCCATGAGATCCCCATCACAGGGAATTAAGAGCAGTCTGGACAAACCCACCAGGGCTGCTCTGGGGTTATGTTGCTGTAACCTGCGTGTGGGGGGCTGGACTAGGTGCCCCTGAAGGGCCCTGCCAGCCCCACATCTCTGTGGTTCCGCGAATTGTAAGAAATGCAGGGAAACTTTAGGTGATGGAAGGAAACACTGGACTGGGGGAAGAAAGGAACGGTGTGAATTTGGCCCTGAGCTCCTGCCCTCCCACCATCCACTAGTATCCTGCAAAGCACTGCAAACAATCTCCCACAAAGCAGCGTGCTGAGCTGCTGGGATACTGCCTACCCACAGTCCTCCAGTCAGGTCCCACATCTTCCACCTCCATGGGTGGCAGCCATCCCCCAGTGGAGTTACATGCCCCAGCTGCCCTGCCCCAGAGGCTGCTGCATCTCAATGCAAGGCGAGCCATGCCCATGCTGTGTTATGTGCAGCTGTTCCCCAGATGCCCTGCCCCAGAGGCAGCTGCATCTCAGTGCAAGGCCAGCCATCCCCATGCTGTGTTATGTGTAACTATGCCTCAGCTGCCCCACCCCAGAGGTGTCTGCCTCCTGGTGCTGCAGATGTATAAATCCTGTCTTGGCAGAGTTGTGATTAATTAGGGCTTCTGAGGGCATCTGAAGTCTTTGGGAGCAAGGTTCCCCATGGCTGCATGGGGCTGGTGCTACCATGGCTGTGGGGGCATGGTGTGATGTGGACAATAGGCACGACCAAGGGCTGAGAGCAGTTCAGCGGCACATCCCAAGGCAAAGCAGGTCACTGGTACGGAACCACAGAGCCCTTTCCCTGCACACTACACACAAGACCCCCATCCCCTAAACCAGGAGTCATGGTTCCCAGTCCCGTCCCCTCCCCCAGCTGTCCGTAGGACTTATGGGGCTCTGTGCATTGTTAAACTGGTGCCCTACAGACAGAAGCTTCCCCACAGAAACAGGCCTGTGTACTCGGCTCTGTCAACACGGCCCCTTCCTAAGGAGATTGCTGCGCTCTGGTGGGGTGGGAGCCGACCCGTTCTTACCTGCTGTCCTGGTGGTGCCACAAATTTTCAGGTGCCTTATACAGCCACATATGCACCATGTGCTTAAGGACGGCCTCCCTCCTCCGGATCCAACCACTAGACCTCACTCACCTCCCAAAGCTGGGACAGAACCCAGGAGAGTGCAGACACCCTGACTCACACCAGTGAGGGGGACGCCTGCGACTCATTCCCAGCTCTGGGGAGGCAACAGGAAATGGGGGAGGGGAGCAGATGCCACCTGCATCTAACTGGGGTGTTAACTCCCAGTGAGGGATTAGGAGCCCAGGGACAGAGCTGCAGGGGGGCTGGGATGGCAGGGACAGAGTGGGGGGGAGGGGAGAGAAGGGCTGGGGTGGTAGGGACAGGGCAGGAGGGTGGGGGGGAAGGGCTGGGATGGCAGGGACAGAGC